GCCAGCTCCTGCTCCTCAAGGTGAGGTGATTGAGTCCCTGTCTGAGCCTCGTGAGCCTGCGACTCGTGCTTCCACGCCTGTTCGTGCTCGTCGTGCCGCCCGTCCTCGTCCTCATGCTGTCCCAGGCACTCACGCTATGGCACTTCGTCCTTCCTCTGTTCTATAGCGTGTTGTCCTACCTGAGCCTCCCGCGTCCTCTCTTCCTGACGTGCTTGACCCTGAATCCGACCTTGCTCGTGCTGCCAGCCCTACTATCACTCGTCTCCTCGCTATTGTCGTCACTGATCTTAACTTTGAGTCTACTGCTGCGTTTGCCCCAGTCACTAAGCTAGTCAACTTTGTTGCTAGGAGTCGTCTTGACTACGTCGCGAATCTTGTTACTGAGTCTAAATCTGTCTGTCCTCCGTCCATCGGGGGTGAGCCTGCCCTTAGCAGTGATGTCCTTGAGAACAGGCAGTTTGAACTTGAGTGTCTTGCAGCCGTTTTACCTCGTTTCGCATCCATGCTGCTTTCCTCTGAGGAAGACCTGGATGCACTTGACATCCCTACCCCGCGCTCTTACGCTGAGGCGATAGAGGGTCCCTACTCCTCTTAGTGGCAAACAGCCATGGACGTAGAGATGGCTTCCTGGAAGTCCACAGGCACCTACGTCGACGAGGTTCCTCCTCTTTGGGCGACCATAGTCGATGGCATGTTCATTTTCAAAGTGAAGCAGCCGATGGATTCTCCGCCTGCCTTCAAGACGCGTTACGTTGCTCGAGGCTTCGGTCAGCGACAAGGGGTCGAATTCTTCTAGACCTTCTCCCCCACCCTAAAGATGACTAATCTTTGGGTGTTGCCGCACGTTGCAGCACAGCGTGACTACGAGTTGCACTCCCTCGACTTCTCCACAACTTTCTTGCAGGGCAGCCTTCACGAGGTTATCTGGCTGTGCCGCCCACCTGCCTTCACTGGGTCGTTTCCAGAGGGTACCCAGTGGAGCCTCCGGCGGCCAGTCTATGGTCTCCACCAAGCGCCCCGCGAGTGGCATGACACACTGAGGAGGACACTTGCGGCTCTTGGGTTTGCTCCTTCATCTCCTGACCCGTCGCGATTTCTACGCACCAATACTTCTCTGCAGCCTTTCTATGTTCTCATGTACATCGATGACTTGGTTTTGCTGCTGCTGACACTCACGCGCTGGCCCTAGTGAAGGCGCAGCTGCAGGAGAGACACACCTGCACTGACCTGGGTGAGCTACGCAGCTATCTTGCCTTACAGATTACCCGGGACAGAGCACGTCGCACGATCACCCTGACTCAGTCACACATGGTGCGCCAGGCCCTTCAGCGTTTCGGCTTCCAATTCTCCTCGCCACAGCCCACTCCTCTGCCTACAGGCTCGCTCTCAACTCCACCTTTGGACGAGTCCGTAGAGCCGGGTGGTCCATATCCAGAGCTTGTGGGTTACCTCATGTACCTAATGACGTGCACACGACCTGACCTCGTGTACCCTCTCAGCCTCCTGGCTCGCTACGTGGCTCCTGGTAGACACCGAAAGGTGCACTAGGATGCTGCTAAGAGGGTACTACGTTACTTGTGCTGTACATCGCGCATGGAGCTCGTGCTTGGAGGAGAGGGTTCAGTGGTACTCACAGGACACTTCGACGCTTCTTGGGCCGAGGACCAGTCAACTCAGCGTTCGTCACAGGGTTACACCTTCAGTCTTGGCTCTGGTTCTGTCTTGTGGAGGTCCACTCGTTCGTCTTCTGTGCTTGGTTCCAGATGTGAGGCCGATATCTACGCTGGGGCTATGGCTGCCCTGGAGCTACACTGGTTGACCTACCTGCAGACCGACTTGGTGGAGCGGCCTCGTTCTCCTCTAGTTCTGTACGTCGACAACAAGGCCATGCTTGCCTTGTGTTAGGAGCAGAGACTGGAGCACAGAACGAAGCGCATTGCTCTTTGCTATTTTCTTACTCGAGAGCTGCAGCAGCAAGGTTAGCTTCCCCTTTCCTACGTGGCCTCTCAGGCCAACAATGCTGATGTGTTCACCAAGGCCCTTGGGTCTGGTGATCATCAGCGCTTTTGCACTGCTCTTGGGCTTCTGCCTACCCTGCCTCACCTGCTTGTCTCTTGATCTTGCCCTTTTTGTGCACTGATATCTATGTATATACCTACATGTTTACTCTTGCTAGGTTGTGATCAGTGTACTGTATCAAAAGCCTAGCTAGAACCTAGTAGCTATAGCTAGGGTTTAGGGTACATGAGAGAAAAATGGAAGAAGAGGGGTTTCACTAGCAAGCAATGGGATACATATAGCAAACTCTAGTTGGGCTGTACTCACTATAGAGTACCCCAGTGCAGACTAGACAAATAACACATTCTGACACACCCCCATAGTAAAAGTGGGGTATAATGAGCACAACAAGCAGGCAGAGCAATAGTTCACAATGATAAGCATAGCTAGAGGCTATCACAGTGGGCAAGTGAGGAGGAGGAGAAACTGTGGGGGCGAGAAGATGGGAGGCGACGGCTTAAGCTGCGGACACACGGGCAACAGGAGCGCGCAACACTGTGGCTACCAGGCGCAGAGCCCCGGACTACACGGCCACACTGTGGCTACCAGACGCAGAGCCCTGGACTACACGGCGACAGGCGCAGCTGGCTCTCTAGGCTACCAGGCTAAACCCCGGACTACATGCGCTGCGGACGACAAGACGGCTGCCTCCACTCAACTTCCCCCAGCTGTCCCACACCCTTTTTACACACCCCCTGCTGTACCTCTAGCACTGCTCACACGCCACCCCCCTAGCATCACTCCCTCGGCTCCCACATACCCACCCCCCTCAATGGCAGCTTCAACAGTGGGAGACGGAGGAGGAGGAGGAGGAGGAGGAGGAGGAGGAGGAGGAGGAGGAGGAGGAGGAGGAGGAGGAGGAGGAGCAAGGTACGGCTCACACACCCGCCACCCCCATACCCGTCACCCCCATACCCTGAGTGTGTGGTAAGCGAGCTCAGGTGTGCGCGAAGCGTGCACAAGCGTGCGGGAAGCGAACTCGGGTGTGTGGTAAGCGAACTCAGGTGTGCGGGGAGGGGGGAGCCGCAGGGCGACGCGCCGGTCCACGGGGGCGGCGCACGGGTCCCACGGGGTGGCGTGCCGGGATGACGAGGGCCGCGCGCGGGTCCCGGGGGGCGCTTCGATGGACGACGGGGGGGCGACGCGCTGGTCGACGGGGCAGGAAACCGCCGCGCGCCTCGGGGCGCACGGCGGGCAGAAAACCGCCATGCGCCCCGAGCGCGTGGCGGGAAGAAAAAAACGTCGCGCGCCACGGGGCGCGCGACAGACAGGACAACAGCGGAAGCTAACGGTGGGCCCACAGGCCAGGAGCGTAACCGCTCTGATAGCATGTCAAAAGCCTAGCTAGAACTCAGTAGCCATAGCTAGGGTTTACGATACACGAAAAAGAAATGGAAGAAGAGGGGTTTCACTAGCAAGCAATGGGATACATATGACAAACCCTAGTTGGGTTGTACTCACTATAGAGTACCCCACTGCAGACTAGACAAATAACACATTCTGACATACTGCCTTGCTTTTATAACTTTGCATGTCAACTAGCCTTGTGGCCACTTGCTTGTGTTTAGAATGCGTGGTGATTCTGAGATCCACCCTGGGCTTTGCATTGCTTTGTTCTCTTGCCTGACTAGTCTTGTGACCATTTGTTGTGTTGGCTATCCCTCACTTTGCCTAGGGGGTTTGTCAAAGCATATTTCTATGTTCTTTGTTCTGCTAGGCTTAAGTGAGGTGCTCAGTATAAAGTACAATCCCCGTTAAGGTTTCCTTCTTGTATCTCACTCTTGCATAGTTCATTCATTCCGGCACAGTTCTCTTAACACAAACATGACGCACACTTTTGTAACTACGAAAACATGTGATACATAAGTTGTTAAACCAACCCAGACAACTAGAAACAACTTCTTTCAAGTAGGTAATACCAACTGAGCATGTGCTGTAATTCTCACGTGCCATTGCTGACTTGGCAAATCGCAGCTAAAAGTAGTTTAGTAAACGTTTTTGTGCGAACGTTCTCTAGTTGGTTCAGTGGTTGGGTAGTTCATTTTTACCCCTTATTTTATTATTTTCTTCGATTATTCTAGTGAATCTATTTTGTGTGCAAGCAACATTGGCCTTCCCAACACTTAACCAAGTTTTGTCTCTTTAGTGAGAAATTTCTACGCGGAAAGCATTCTGTATAGCTCGACCGCTAGTACAGAAATTTCTGCAATTTGTATTATCATACATGCCCTCATCAAGTCATTTGTTCGGTTTCTCACAAAATTCTCCTCCCTTTAATTATGAAAAGGCTGTTAACTATCGTGAATCAGAATGGCTGTGGGTAGGTACCCTAGGGTGTAAAATAGGGCTTGGTAATGATCAAGAACTATGTGTGTACGATGTATGCCCAATATATCTTAGATCATTCATTTGAGGATTAGCATAGTACACCATGATAATCGTTTCGCGATAACTGCAGCATCGCGTATGCTCTTCCGCGCGAGCAGCTCCAGTCCAGTCTGGGGGAGTCTGGGACTCTGGGTCGTTCATCTACAGCACAAAAGACCATTGCGATGCGAGATTTCAAGTTCGGACGCCATTGACCACAAGCACGCTGTGGTCAAAACGAACAGCCCACCAACAACTACCTCTTCCCGTGAATCTTGAGTCGTCTCGCACCTTAACACTCATCTTATCATGCGCGGATTCCTCCGGAGCTATCCCGCGCCATGCCCGGCCTCTCCTTCTTCCCAGCCTCCTCCGACGGCTCCCGCTCCCCCGCTACAAGCACGGCCACTTTAGGCCACGGCACTCGCGGCATCAGCATTGTCAGCGGCAGCAGCAACACTCACAGCGGCGGCGGCGGCGGCGGGGGGGACCGCGATGGCAGCAGCAGAATGGGCAGGTTCAGCCAGAGGAACGGGGGGGCGGCCACTGCAACGCGGAGCACAGGCGTCGCTGGAATGGCCGGGATTGGTGGGATCGGTGGGATCGGTGGCGAGGCGCCTTTTTCGGAAGCTGTCGTCTCGTCCATCCTTCCCGCATCCCTTCGCGCACTCCCCGCACTCGCCCTCTCGCCGCGCTACACGGGCTGTGCGCTCGCTACTGCTGCGCTGCTGCTCGTCGCGTCGCTCGTCCTCGCCCTCCAAACCACGCTGCTCCACCCCGTGCGTACACGCTCCTCTCACAGTGCGGATTTTCACAAGCCTTGTCATTTCTGCCAACCGCCGCTTATTCCTGCGAGCGAGGTTGTTCCAATGCCTGGCCGTGGGAGAGGCACCGCTCTGAACCGCACCACCGAGATGTGCAGAGCCGGTCGAGCCACTCGCAGTACAACTGCTCCATCCAAACGAAGATCCTTCATACACGAGCGGAAGTAATGTTACTCACCAACGCTTCAAGCTCATCCCATCCCCTCCCTTCCCAACCCACTCACACATGCACTCACTCATACATGGCTCTCCCCATACCCTCCCCCCCGCCCTTCCCTGCTGACTCCTTACCCCATACACACAGTAGCAATGCTTGAAGCCGGGGGCCAATGCTGTGCCTAGCCCTACGCCAGCGTCCACTCTAACCCCAACGCTGCTCTCCGTCCCGCTCTCTGCCGCCCCGTGTGCCTAGTGCTCCCTGTGCAGGCACAGCAGCGCGACCCAGTTGACTCGTTTGACTCCGTTGATCGCAGCTCCTCGCTGCCCTATGCCACGTGGCCCTGGCGCTGGTCTCCGTGGGCGGGTGGAACTTTCCCCTCACAACCACATGCAGCAGTAGCAGTGGCGGAAGCAGCAACGGAGTCAGCAGGAGGAGGAGCAAGGGGAGGGGGTTTTGGGGTTGTGGAGCGGAATGGGGGAGGGGAGTATTGGGGAAGAGGATTTGGTGCTGGCAGTGGTGGCGGTGCTGCTGCTGCTGTTGCTGGTGGTGGTGGCAGGGACGAGAGCGAGATGGAAGATGGCACACCAAGGTCTTGCTCACATGCCCTCTCTCACCTTCCAACTTGCTGCCCCATCTCAGCCCTCCGTCCCTAACTTCCCTCTCCCTCCGCTGTCTTTCACTTTCTCCTTTGTCTTTCCCCAGCCCCTCTCGTCATCTCATCCTCGCTCCTCCTCTCCCTCCCATCCCCATCCTACCCTGCCCTCTCTTGTATCACGTGCACACTCTTCCTCCTGCCTCGCCACATGCATCTAATCCTTCCCTGCCATGCCATGACATGACATGTCATGCCATACATACCTTACCCTACCACGCCACGCCACGCCTCGCCACTCCACGCCACATGACGCCATGCTCATGCGGTGCAGGGCATCTGTGCAAGCCATTCTGTTCACCTTCTCCTCCTCATGGCTCGCATGGCAACGCCCCTCGGAGCAACAAGCACAGCGGGGGGGCAGAGGGGAGGAAGCCAGCAGCTCGGAAAGCAGTGGCAGTGGCAGCAGCAGGGGGGGCAGTGGCAGTAGTAGCGAGGGAGGGAGTGGTGGAGGTGAGAGCAACAGCGGTGAAGTGGATGTGCACATGAGCCTGGAGCTGCTGCAGTGCCTGCAGGTATTATGCTATCCCATCCCATCCCATCCCATCCCATCCCATCCCATCCCATGCATCAGGTATAAGCCCCTCCCTCCCCACCCAACTCTGCACCGCACCTCCTCTCCTTTCCCCCGCACCACCCCGCCATTGTCCCCTACCAGACATGACACACAGCTGCCAGTGCTCCGCGCGCACCCCTCCCTCCTCACCGCCAGCCAGCACCAATGTGCACTTTCTCCACTCTCTTGTTCTTGCAACCTGCCCCCTCCCTCCTGCCCGAGCTGACTGCGTCTCACAGGGCTGGTCAAGGCGGGGCTCGCACAGCTTGATTGCCGCTGCATCCCATCCCCACTCATCCCATCTCTCTCGCCTCATGCCCCCTTCCTCCACCACATTCCATTTTCTCCCTTCCACCACCCCCCCACCTCCTTTCCCCTCCCCACACCGCCGCCTTCCTCCCCGCGCACGCACCGTGGTGGGGGCAGTGGGTGGAGTACTGGGTGCAAGCGGGCGTGCAGGCGGTGCTGTGGGCGGACGTGCTGTCCTGGGAGCACGTGGACCCCGACCATCCCACCAGGGACGCCCTCGCCCACATGCACGCGCAGGTCACTCACAGCGCCCTGCCCTGCCCTGCCCTGCGCTGCCCTGCACGTGTGTGTGCCCACGGAGGAGTGGAGGAGAGGGATGCATGCAGGTGGGGGGAGTGAGTGGGAGAGGGGGGTAAGGGGGGGCGAAACTCACAGTGCGGTGCTCTTGCACGCGTGTGTCTTAGGCGCAGCTGGTTAGGTATTCCCCATGCGCTGCAATCACACCAGCATGCATCTGCCTCGCCACTGCCTGCCACTGCCATGCACTAGGAGTGCGGTGCTGTGAGTTGGCATACCGCTGTTGAGTTGAGGGTTGGATAATGCGGAGGGGTTTCTTTGGAGGAAATGTCAGCGTACATGCATGCATGCATGCATGCATGGGAACGCGCATGCTTCTATGAATGCCCCCAGTCTTCGTCACCTCTGCTGCCCCCCCAATCATCCCTATCCCGTCCTCCCCCTTGTTTCTCCAACCCCCTCTAACCCCCCCCCTTTCCCCCATCAGAAGCAGGCACTGGTGAGAGCGTACGAGGGGGAGGGGCGAGTGGGGTTTCATCGCGAGGTGATGGGCGTGGGCAGCACGAGGGCGCACGTGGTGGAGCGCGTGGTCGCCATGGCAGCTCACCAGGTCAGCCTGCTCTGCTGAGCTGCCGTTGCTGGGCTTGCTGGGTGGGCGCCCAGAGAACGTGGGAGAGCACAGGGCTGTTTGCATGAGCCTAATTTTAATGTGAGGGTGCTGCTTTGCAATGAAAAGGGTGTTAAAGAAACATGCAAGTGGGTGAGATGAGGAGAAGGCAGAGGTGGGAGCTTCAGTGGGTGGGCCGTCGGTCGTGAAGTCAAGTGGGTGGTTCAATCATTTGTTGGGTGGATGGATGGATGGATGGGTGATTCAGTTGACCCTCGGGTGCTTCAGTCCATTGCCTTAGTGCAATGTGTGCAGAGCTCAATGGGAAGACTCCCACTAGTGGCCATACTTCTCACATCTACCTCCTTCCTCCCTACCACCTCACTTGCACCCCTCCCTCCCTCCACCCGCCCGTCAGACCTCCGCAGAATGGCTGCTGATTGCTGACTCGCCACGCGCCTTTTTCTCCCTGCCCTCCCACCCTCACCCCGGCTCCCTCTCCCGTTTCCTGGCGCAGCAACCAGCGCATGTGCTGCAGGTGGGACTGGGTGCTGGAAAGGCAGAGAGTGAAATGGGATGGCATGAGGACGGGATGGGGATAGGATGAGGATGAGATGTGGCTTTATGTGCAAGTGGGTTTGGGGACTGCAGGTCAGGGTAGTGCGTACGGCAGTGGGATGGGGTGGGGTGCCATGGCATGGGATGGGAATGGGCCGGTATACATGACAAGTAAACCCCTGTTAACCCAGTGTCCCCCGTCTCTCTTTCACTGTTGTTTTCTCCAGTAGATGCACATGCCATTTCACTTTCAAGTAACAAGTGATCCCCCCCTCTGTTTCCCCCGCTTTCCCTCTTCTTCCCCCCTGCCTCTCAGCAACCCACCCTTTTTCTCCCTTCTCTCGCCCTCCGGCTCTCCCCACTTGCCCTGCACCATCCCCCCCCCAACCTCCTCGGCCCTTTCTCAGGTGCGCCCGTCCCTGTCATACCTCTCGTCCCGGCCGCTGCTCATCCCCTTCACCTTCTCGCCGCGCTCGCTCTTCTCCCACGGGCCTGTCACCGATGTGCTTCTGGACCCCGATGAGCAAGACGACGGGAGCTCGGGCGATGAGGATGGAGGAGGGGCGGACAGGATTCACACTCAGGGGCATGAACTGGAAGGCGGGGAGTCAAGTAACGAACCACAATGGACTCTATTAGAATCTGCTGCTTCTGCTGCTGCTGCCACTAAAGCTGGCATGTTGACTGGCAACGATGCTGCTCACAGCAACCCTTCCATGGCTGTGCAGCATTGCTTCCGCCCCTTGGCCTCTCTTGCTCCCATGGGCGCCAGTGAAGCAGGCAGGGGAGAAGGGGAAGGCTTAGATGGAGGGGTAGATGGTGGGATGGGGGGAGGAACGAGTGGGTTTGAAGGGGAAGAGGAGGGCCAGCCAGCAACAGTGGTGGTGATGGCAGTGCGAGCAGCCGCTGTGCGTGAATTGACACCAAAACGTGGCTTGCATCACCGTCGTCACCACGATGATTACGATGATCGTGACAGTGCTGATGCTGATGCTGATGCTGCGGCTGCGGCTGGTGGTGCTGGGAACAAATCTGCTCTCGCTCACCTGCTTTTCTCGTCGCCATCAGAACCAGCTGGCAAGTCAACCCAGCAGCAGCAGGCTGAGGCACAGGGACTGGTTGCAGTGCTACTGTCACCCCATAGCTCTGGCAGTAGCAGCAGTGGCGGCAGTGGCAGCAGTGGCAGCATGAACAGGGAGCAGGAGATGGAAGCAGCGGTGGAGGCAGCAGGTGGTGTGTGCCGCGGTGGTTGGATGGACGGTACCGACCCACACAGTGGGCTCCTGGAGTTCAAGGTCGTGCACCTGAGAGGCGCAAGGGCGGATAGGAAATGGGGGACGGGTGGAGGGTGGGAAGGGAAGGAGAGGGGGTGCGTGTTACTCAAGTGCTGTGTCATGCTCTCTCTTTTGTGGCCCCTTTGTAGCATTGTAATCACTCCCAGACAAGCATGGCAAGCGGCACAAGCACTAGCAGTTATGGTGCATGCATGCATGAGCCAATGAGCATGTGCAGTGGCACATACCACTCCCAACAAAACAAACCTCCTCTTCGCTTCTCAACGTCCTATCCCCTCATTCACTCCTCTTGAACCAACACTCCCCCCCCCCAACCCCCTCACTCCCCACCAATCCCCCACTTCCGCCTGTCTGCTCTTCCCCCCCTTTCATTCTGTCTTCCCAAAATATACCCCAGGCAGTTTTCCCTGTCCCTCTCCTTTTGTCCCTCCTCTTTCCGCCCACTCCACCCCCCTCTCCTCAACCCCTCCTCTCCCCCTTTCCTCTCCCCCCCACTCCCCCCTCTCCGTTGCCTCCAACTTTCAGGCTTTAGCAAAGGCAGTGTTCCCACGAGTGCACATGCAGGCAGCGCGTGTAGCAGCAGCGGTGGTGCACGGAGCAGTGCAGCGAGTGCAGGCTCTTGTGCAGCGCATGCAGCAGCAGCTCAACCACGCTGAAAGGGTGGCGGAGAAGAGGTGAGCGCTGGCCAAGGGGAAAATGAACGGGGCAATAGAAAGGGAGGATGTGAGATGCACGGGGGTTGGTGTGAAGGTGCTTGTGGTGTTCGGTTTCGCGCTGATGATGGGGGAAGGTGGCAGTTGGCTGTAACGGTTGGGGGGAGGAAGGGGGGGAGGACAGAGACACTACCAGGGAAGGCGGATTTCTCCAAGTGAGCTGATAGCTCATGGGCTATGCGAAGAGTGTGGCAGGCAGGCTCACTGGCAGGGTTGCATTGCAGCCTCTCTATGTTGATTGGACCAACCGCACTGCCTGGACTGCTTTGGAGAGCTTGCGTGGAGACTGTTAGGTGGGGAGGAGGATGGTTACATGCTCGCTGAGTGTGCCAAGGCTGGCAACAGTGGTGGAGATTTTCCTGCCGTGCACCTGTGTAAGCAGCACTGCCATGCACGTCCTTGCAGGTTGAAGAGGCGTGGATGTCCCCAGGGGTGCTGAGTGCTGGGCGAGTATCACTGGAACTGCGCAAGCTGCTGCCCGTCCTGGTGCTGGGGTGCAGGGGTGCTGGGGTGCTGGGGTGCAGGAGGTGTTAAGGTTCCTGTGTGGCAGTTTGTGGCCCGCTGCCTCCTCCTGCCGACACTGACAAGTGCGACTGCAGCTCTCACACTCCTCCCTTTGTGGGGCACCCCCCGCACTGAGGTTTGAGACGTCTCAAATATCCGCAAAGCCACACCCCTCACTGTATGCTGGCAGCATATTTTCAGAGTCTCCATTGCGGTATTCTGGTAAGCGCGGCGCAGGGCGGGGGGTGCTGCTCACGTGGGAAAGCAGGGCGTTGTGGACGGACACCCTGGCAGGCGTTCTGTGCAAGCAGTACAGGCACTTTCTTGCGCCCGGACTCCTTGTGCCTCTGTGGACGCCGGAAGCATCCGCAGAGCAACCGACGGAAGCTTTGCTTACTATGTTGGTAGCTCGTGGGGTGCTTCCCTTGCTCAAGCAGCCCCGTGATTCTTTCCTCTCTATATCTCCAGAGCTGTGCTCTCTCTGGACCGCTCTCTGCCTGCCCGCCACATCCACGAATGACCACCACTGTCCATGTTCTGTGGTAACTGTTGAGCTAAGGCATCCTGTATCCCACACCTGTGCTGTGTCGTTCCTCCCTTGTGCATGTGACCCTGTGGCAGGACAAATCTCTCAGCCATCTTTGCAACTGTGCTGCAGCCATACAGCAGCACCCCCCTGGAAGCAGCCACTTCTGATAACCCCGCCTCTGCCGGCACCACTGGTATCTCTAACACCAGCATCGATGTATCTGCAGCAGCAGCAAAGCCAGCAGCAGCAGCTACAGCAGGCGCATTAGAGCCAGCAGCAGGTGCAGCAGGGGAAGGTGGCAGCAGTGTGATTTTCCTTGCAGCGATGGCGTATGCGAGGGTGTATGGAGAGGACCGGTTCAACTTCACTGCTTATGAAATCTGGCAGGTGGGTTGTGGTACACGTTTCTCTTGCTCTTCTTGCTCTTGCACTTCTTCTTTGTGATTTTCCCTTTCTTTCGTTATCTTTTTTTGCACTTGCTTCCCCTTGTTCTTGCTGCTCTTCCACTCGCTCTTGCTTTTGTTTCTCCTGCCCTTGTTTCTCTCATTCCCCTTTTATTCACGTTTCTCTTGCCCTTGCACTGCCATCACAGTGCAATGCATCCCAAACGCATTCCTCCTCCTGCCACCCCTCACTGCCACATCCCTCCCTCCCTCCACCCTCATCCCCTCACCCTTTCTCCCTGCCCCTTCGGTCTTCCATACGCGACGCCCCGTGCGAGCAGTGGTTGGAGTATGGGCGGTATGCGGGGGTGCAGCATGTGTTCTGGTACGACACTGCACACTCCCAGGAAGAGAGCCAGGTGTGTGTCTCACTCATACCATGCGTGGGGTGTGGAGTTTGAGTGTGAGGGTGGGTGAGTGGGGTTGGGTGTGCGAGAGTGAGAGTGTGGGGATGGGTGCGTGGGGTGGGAGAGTGTGGTGGGTGTGCGAGAGTGAACTTGTGGGGTTGGTTGCATGGGTTTGGGGGGTGAGTGTGAGGGAGTGGGAGCATGGGGTAGGTGTGTGGAGTTTATGGTACACTGTGCTGCAAGGGGGCCATGCTATCTCTGTGACTTGTGTGAGGCCATGTGTGGAGCCTGGATGAGTGGCGGCTGAGGCACACAGACGGAGGGAGGCGTCATGACAGAGAGGGAGAGAGGCATATCGCAATCCGTGACCTTGAGGCGTCTTTGCCTCTCTCGTTTGGTACGTCGTGATTGCCATGGCGCGAATAGTGGATGGGCGAATAACGCAAAGTTGTGGTAACGGGGATGGAGGGGGGATGAACGGCGGCGAGGTGAGTGAACACTCGCATTTGAAGGCATCTCACAACTTCTTGTGCCCACCGCAGCCATGCATACATCACCTTTCCTTCCAGATTTATTCACCTTTCCCACTCCCCCTCCGTCTCCTTTCCCTTTCCCCTCCACTTCTCCACTTCCCCTGCTGCACGTCTCCCCGTCCCTGGCCATCAGGAGGCGGCACTGGCAGCGTATGTGGGGGCGGGCGTGCTGACATACCACCGCTTCTACCGCCTCTTCCCCGAGTGGCATGACATTCACTACGAGCAGGACTCCTCTGTCTCGCACTTCCTCAAGGTGCTGCGCTGCTGCCCATCTGTCTGCCTGGCTGTAACGGGCAGGTGAAAGGAACTGTTGGGCATGTGAACTAACGGGCCGGATGCTGAAAATGTGTTGAGAGGGTGGTGAAGGTTTGTCCTTCCCACGACGCCCATCCACAACCCTCCTCCAGTGTCAGTCTTGCCCAAGGCGCAAGCCCGTACACAGCACCCTCGTGTCACCGAACGAGCCATGGATTTTGTGGTTGGGTATGCTTATATCACTCATGCCTCTCCTGTTCCATCTTCCAAAACCTCTCCTGTAGTTGGGTATGCTTCTTGCGGCCTCCCTCTCCCTCCTGCCGCGCCCCCCTTCTGCATCCCCCCCTGCAGACGTACAGCACGCGGGTGCGGTGGGCGGTGCTGTGCGACATAGACGAGTACATGTTCAGCCCCTCTGACACCCTCCCTGGCTTTCTCCTCCGCTTCCTCACACGCCACGTGCAGCCCGCTAGTAATGCCACGGCACAGGTGGGGTTGAGAGGAATGTTGTGGGATGGAGATGGGTTCACATACATTGTGATGCATGTCACAGCGTGCCCTCTTCCTCCTCCTCCTCCTCCTCCTCCTCCTCCTCCTCCTCCTCCTCCTCCTCCTCCTCCTCCTCCTCCTCCTCCTCCTCCTCCTCCTCCTCCTCCTCCTCCTCCTCCTCCTCCTCCTCCTTCCATCCTCGTTATTGTCGGTTCCATTTCTCCACCCCATCACATCCACGTGAACTTGTTCCCCAACCAACCTACTCCTCACCCTTCTCCCACCACATCTCCCCCATACAACCATATTCTCCCCACCCCTCCCTCCCCCCACTGCCCAACCATCTCTCCCCCTCGCCAGGTCCTCGTGCAGAATCTCTTTTTCCAGGGCGCGCCCACATGCGCGCCACCGTGCCTCCTAGTGGACGCGTACACGCAGAGGAGCGCGCACACGGAGGGGCCAGTAGCGCGCACCAAGGCCATTGTGCGCGTGGACCAGGTGCAAGGAAACTTTGGTGGCAACCCGCACAAGTTCTGGATGAAGGGCGAGGCTATTGGGGGGGAGGTGGGGGAGGTGGCTTTAGGCGGAAAGGCGGAGGGTGGAGGAGGATGGAACGAGGGCGGGGAACGGGGAACGGGGGGCGGGGAGGGTAGTGGGGAGGGAGAGAGAGGTGGGGATGGGGAGCGTGGAGCAGGTGGTGTAATGGGGGGCAGGCGAGGGAGGGTGACGGTGGTTGCGGACCCGTCGTTGCTGCGTATGAACCACTACTGGGGCTTGAGAGCTGTTGACTTCAACCCATGGCCAGAGCACGACCGAGACAAGCTGATTCCAGATGCGTCCGTAGGGGTGAGTGTTGAATGGGCAGGTGGGTGTGCTGGATAGGGGCTGCATGTGATACCTGCTCCATCTGACCAACCTTTTGTCCCTCCTCGCTTCTCCTTCCCCGGTTCTCGCCTTATCCCTTCCCCATTCCCCGTCCGGTTGCTATTCGCCACTCAGCATCTCCTATAGCCCCCTTCTTCCCCAGCCACCCACTCATCATCCACCATCACGCTTTCCTCCCTCTGCCCACATGTGGTACATCCTGCCAGCCAATAGCGGACGCCATACGACCCAGACTAGTGCCTGCATGGCAGTGGTGTGTTGAAGAGAAGACGCTTCAGGATATACACCTTCTAAAAACATCAATTGCAAATTCATCGCAGCAATGCAGGATGCTACAGATGGCAATTCAATGGATGCAAGCATAATTTGATTCTGGTGTCGCTACCTGTTGTTCTGTCAGCCATGTTTTGTTGGCCAATAGGCTAAAGATGTACTATGATCATTCTCCCAAATATACCCTAATAGCTTTAGTTGGGAGAGGTCTGGAGGCCGCCTGTTGCTGTCAGCCCTCGCCATCTCAAGAAAGTTGATGCTGCTTCGTTGTCAAGCCAAGAGCATTGATAATTTAAAACTCAAACAGCACATACAAAGGCATCTCAGCCACAAACCTAAGAAACCAAAGCAACGTGCAAACTCAACATCTACGTAGTCACCTCCAACGCCCCCTCTCCCCCACTTCCTACTTATGAAGAAACCTTGCAAAACCCGAACCCGTACCACCCTCTATGCCCATGGAACCAGATCCCCTAACAGCTGCTGCTTCCCCGCTTTCATTCTTCCTTCTCGGTCCTTCTTTCCCTTTTGTATGGTACCGGTACTCCCCATCCTCCCCTTCCTCCCTATCCTCCTTGCCCTTCTTTTCTTTCTTCTTCAGGCTCCTCCGCACACCAGCACCCTCATCTCCCTGCCAGCGGGGAGAGCAGGTCGTCCTCTGTCATCATGCTGCGAGCAGCCACGCCCTCAGGGCCGGCCTCCTCGCTCCCACTGGGTGCGGCTATTCAGTGCCAGCAGCGGCGGGGGTCTCAGCACCAGGTGCCGCCCCACCAGGTGCTGCTACCGCTCCTTCCCCATTCTTCTTCCCCTTCTTGCCCTTCTTGTACTTCCTGAATTTCTTCCCCTTGCACTTCTTTCCCTTCTTCTTCAGGCTCCTGCGCGTGTCCGCCACGTCAGCACCCCCCCCCTCCAGCTGGGAGAACAGGTCGTCCTCCGTCATCATGCTGCGAGCACGCACGCCCTCAGGGCCCGCCTCCTCGCCTCCACCGGGTGCAGCTGAATCAGCGCCAGCGGCGGCGGGGGCCTCACCACCAGGTGCTGCTGCCGCGCCTTCATTCTTCTTGCCCTTCTTCCCCTTCTTCCCCTTCTTCCCCTTCTTCCCCTTCTTGCCCTTCTTGTACTTCCTGCATTTCTTCCCCTTGCACTTCTTTCCCTTCTTCAGGCTCCTGCGCATGTCCGCCACGTCAGCATACACAGAGCCCTGCACCAGCAGGGAGAGAAGGTCGTCCTCTGCCAGGACGCGAACAGCGCCATCATGGGCCGACTGCTCGCCCTCCTCCGCAAGAGCGCGGTTCGTTATTATCACATCCGCGTCCTCGCTTGCGTCTTCTGCGAGCGCCTTGCCCGTGGCGAGCAGAGTCTCGTCGGGCCTTGCGGCGAGAGTGGCGAGAGCGGGGTTGAACTCCGCCGCGGCCGCCACGTGCGCGGCGGCGAGCGCACAGAGCAGCAGCAGGAAAGCGCGAAGCACCGTTATGGCTTACAGAACTGACTTGGGCTAGTATCAGATCGAGAGGTGAACTCGTTGGATGAGACTGGTGGAATTGGTGGAAAAGAGTGGAAATGCGAGCGAATATAAACATCGCTCGAGCGTGATTTGAGGCGGCTCGAGATCTGCCGTCACAGTGTAATGAATAAAGGAGAGACTCTTCTGCGTGTGAGGCGGTGCTAGGGTCGCCCATAATTCCAATCGCCTGAATGGCGTAATTCACGGCGGGGTCTCGTCTGGCTTTGATCATCTGGCGAAATCCGACTGCTCAGTCAGAGTGTGACCCAAAACAGGTGGTAACGCTACAGTAAGTCGTACAGAGCAGATTAGCCAGGAAATGCTACTTCGCTTGTTCCTTTCGCAGCGCCTGAGATTTCAGGGGGCCCCGAGACACCCTTTTCTCTCAGGATGCCGATCATGGATTGACCTCCGATATTGCCGGAGGGAGCGAGCAAACCTCCCGCAATTATGCAGCGAACCAACTCAAAGAACCAGGCCGTCAATTGCGGCGAGCAAGTAAAAGAATCTTAGAGTGCATCAATTACCTCGTCACTTATGAAACTACATGAAACCTGTTACGAGTGCAATTGAGCGAGCGAGCTAGAATTGCACTATCGAAGCAAAACAGTACAATGAGAAGGCATGAGCGAAGAATATATAGAGAAGCTACAGTGGTAACGGTAATGCATGAAATTGGGGTGAGAGACGGGCCTGGCGCCGAGGTTGGGAATTGTCGAGGCGGAGGTCAGTAGCGCGGGTTACCAACCGAGCCGTGAGGTTGGGTCGCGGCGTGAACTGTGGGGGGGACAGTAGTCGAGGCGAGTGGTAACGGTGTGCTTTGAGAACTGTTGGCGGGAACAGTCATGTACGCGCTAAGCAGGGACGCGATGTAAGGAAAATGAATTTTCCTTACACTACCCACCCACCTCTCCCCTTAAAGCCCAAGTACAGCATGGTAATTTTCAAGTTCAAGATTCTTGAACTTGAAATCGCAAAAAACAGGGTTACCCTACTTGTTTCGAAGAAACTCTCGCAACCCCAGGCAGTCGTCCTGCGACAACGGAACCCGAGTGCCCAAATAGAGAACTTACGCGATGATCGCCAACCATATGCACTGTTCACCACTCACATAACTTGCTTACCAAGTAGTACTTATAGATTAGGAGGCTCTAAGGCAAAACTAGCGCTCGTTGGCAAAAGCGAGTCGTTTATAGGATTTTTTTTTTGTGCAGAAAGAAATATAGGTATCCACCTCGACCATCTTAGTTAGTGCACGCTCCGATCTCCCCCTCACGTCACCGGTTTCGTGTTACAACCCGTTCACCCGCGGCACTTACGTTAGTGAACGATGTTCGCGATACTCCCGTCTTGCATTCAAGCTCGCGTTGCACACGGAGGCCCTTGTTACACTTGCTGCGGTTCAGGCTCGTGTTAGGATGGTACCGTTTTAGGCACGGGTCGCTCACGCGAATGCCGTACAGGTTCGTGTGACGCACGATGCCGTTAGTCGAATATATTCCCCCTCGTCGACCCACATCAGACCGCTTTCCTCGTCAACCGCGCTTTCCCTCGTCACCCTCGCCGACCCTCTCATCACATATGTTCCCCTAGTCGCCCGCGCTTTCTCACGTCAACCAGACATCTCCTCGTCGCAATCGCTGATAGTGAACATACCACGCTTCAGATCGTCACCCGCGCACCCCTCATCACCATCGTCGACCCGCACCGATCCTCGCCGCCCTCACCTCCCTTAGTCACCGACATTCCCTCTCGTCGCTCGCGCTTTGTAAGATTTATATGACATGGCTGTTGTAGGCTATAGTGGGGTAGCACATATGGGGTACGACTTTCTAGGGTTTGTACTTGTGCCTAACTTTCCCTTAGTCAATTCATTCTCGTTCATTTTCTCATGGTATCGAGAAGGTTCCCCTGTGGGAACTGTTCCTAGGGCCCACCACCTTTTTTTCCTGCCCAGAGCGCGCTCTACTCTGCCCGAGTCGCGCTCCCCTCTTTCGACCCTGTCGCGCCGCCTTAGCGGCCCCGTCGCGTCGAGCTTGCGGCCCCGTCGCGTCGCCCTCGCGGCCCCGTCACGTCGCGCCGCCATAGCGGCCGCGTCGCGCCGCCCTCGCGGCCCCGATCCGCCGCCCTCGCGGCTCCGTCGCGTCGCGCCGCCCTCGCGGCCTGTTCGCGCCGCCCTCGCGGCCCTTTCGTGCCGCCCTCACGGCCTCTTCAAGAAGCCCTCGCGACCCCCCTCCTAGCCGTCCTAGCGGCCCCGTCGCCTACCCCTGGGCCCCGGCGCTGCCCTTCCCGGCCCCGGCGCCGCCTCTGCTGGCCCCGTCGCCTACCCTGCTGGCCCCAAGGCCTACCCTGCAGCCCCGTCGCCTACCCTGCGGCCCCGGCGCCTACTCTGCGGCCCCGTCGCCGACCCTGCTGGCCCCGTCACCTACCCTGCAGCCCCGGCGCCTACCCTGCGACCCCGTTGCCTACCCCTGCGGCCCCGGCGCCGCCCTTCCCGGCATCGGCGCCGCCCTTCCCAGCCTCGGCGCCGCCCTTCCCGGCCCCGGCGCCGCCTCTGCTGGCCCCGTCTCCTCCCCCTGCGGCCCCGGCACCGCCCTTCCCAGCCCCGGCGCCGCCCTTCCCGGCCCCAGCGCCGCCTTTGCTAGCCCCGTCGCCTACCTTGCGGCCCCGGCGCTTCCCTTCCCGGCCCCGGCGCTGCCTCTACCGGCCCCGCCGCCGTCCCCACGCGGCCCCGCCGTCACCACCGAGCTGCCGGCCCCGCTGAAATACTGCCGAGCCGCCCAAGCCACCTGAGCCGCCCGAGCCGCCGCGCCACCTGAGCCGCCCGAGCCGCCAGGTCGCCGAGCTGCCGAGCCGCCGTACCGCCGAGCCGCCAGAGCCGCCGAGTCGCCGAGCCGCAGTTGCTGCCGAGGCGCCGAGCCGCCGAGCCGCCCGAGCCGCCGAGCCGCCTAGCCGCCGAACCGCTGAGCCGCCCAAGCCGCCCTGTCCGGTAAGAGCAGCGCCTCTATCACTGCACTTCCCTTACCCTACTGTTTGCGCTGCTAGTCTACTGCTGTCATGGCTACCCCTAGTGTCCTCGCTTTTGACGCTGAGGGTCGGGCCATTGACTTTGACGTCTGGGTAGATGACCTGCAGCTTTTCCTACAATACGATAGGGCAGACAGTCTCTCCCTCTTTGACCTCACTTCTAGTGCCTCTCCTGCCCCTGCTGCTGATGCTGACGCCACTGTTCACTCACAGTGGGCCACACGCGATGCTGCTGCACGTCTTGCTGTGCGTCGCCACTTGCCTACCTCTGAGCGTGCGCACTTTAGCCAGTACAAGAGTGCTCAGACCTTGTACGACGCTGTAGTTGCACGCTACTCCTCCCCTGCCACTGCTGCAATGAGCCGCCTCATGCTACCGTACCTCTTCCCTGACCTTGCTTCCTTTCCCACAGTCGCTGACCTCATTACGCACCTCCGCAGTGACACTCGTTACCGCGCTGCGCTTCCTGCTGAGTTCTGTGCCAAGAACCCCCCCCCCCCCATGTACATTACCCTCTACTACATAGTCACCAGGCTCCATGACTCTCTCCGCGTAGTCAGA